ATATAAAGCGCTATAAATAATCCCTTCCACATTCTCTCTGTTTACTCAACGACTGTTTAATTCATTCTGTGTCCGATATAGTCACGGTGAAGGTGTAACAGGTACGAAATAATTGCTTCCTACGAGTAATTGCTCGCTTTTTCCACGACAGTCATTTGTAGCCCGTTGATCGCGCTTACTCCCCGTACGTCTGATAATCGCTTTCCGTGCCGCGCGTACATTACAACGTTAACGACAGAAAAATAATATTAATATGAAGCAGTTGGAGAGGCGTTTCGCGCGGGAAATGAAGATTTTCTATCGAGCGTAACTCGTTTATCTTCCATTCTTCCCTGCTCATATAATGGGAGACAATGTAAAATGGCGAGCATCGCAATGAGAGAGTTAAGAGCGGATTTCAAAGAAAGGGCCCATTGAAAAATGATAATTGGGGCTATTCTGCTATACGCATTATATATTATAAATGTAATAGAATATGAATCCGTACACTTTTGAAAATGATGAATTTGCCTGATATTGCATTCCTTTGTCAATACGATTAGCAAAATGTATCGATTAAATTTTAGATAATAATTATTCTACGTACATACGAAAGAGGAATAATTAAATAATAACGTGTTGTCCACAATTTCTTGCGCATCGATAAACTGGGTTATCTATCTACGTCGCCGTAACGTCACGTATGGATGTACAGAGGAACGATAATGTCGACCGGGTTACATCGTTGTACTGGCAATCGCATGGCGATCCTCCTGACGGATATTCTCGATTTGTCGCCTTATCTAATCGTAAGCGGATGCGCGCCTCGTAACCGCGTGTGGCCAATCGAGCAGCAAGGTGACTAAATTTACGAATACGCCTTACTTATAACTCTTAAGTGACATCGTAAAGAAACCATTAATCTTGAAAATATCGTTATTTTATCTTTTTGAAACGTCTGAATAAAGTTTACAAGTATTTCATATAATAAATAAAACTTTTAATTTGCACGACTTACTGCAATTTTGACTCTCACTAGTCCATTTATTTTATTTGAATTTATTTGACATTCTCGAAAGTTCTATTTTAGAGTTGTTTTATCTTTTTGACATTCAGTTACCTATTTTTAATCAAAACTAATAATGGAAACTAAAAATTAGTATTGCATTAATCCTTGTTTAATGCATGTTGATAAACTTTGACAGCGTTGAAAAATTTGATCCAATGGGCTCACAATTAAAGATTCAAATGTATCAGGTCTCTGCGGAAAATGATTGAAATTGAAAATTTATAGGTACTTTTCGTATAAAAATGAATATTGTATATAAAACAATTCAATAAGATCAATATCTATTTTTAACAATGTAATTTAATCATTTAAATAAAATTTTTCTTATTTTATTATGTATATAATAATTATTTTTAAAAAATATCTACTTTGTATTGAAATAATTATTGTTCCAGATTTTAGTTCGCCGCCAAAGTTTTTGTATTACTTTCACAAATACAGTGTAGAAAAATTTATAATTTTTTCATTTTGTTAAAAAGTACATATAATGTATTTTGAACCTTTTAAATAGTAAGTATTTGTAGTACTAGTCAACTTTTTCGCAAATTAGAAGTACTTTTTGTATAAATTACAAATAATTTGGGTTCTTAATTTAAATATATCAGTAAATCAAGATTATATTGCTTTAATGTGAAATTTAAAATGTATAAATTGATATACCTTCTTATTGCACAAACGGTTAAACCGTAACAACATTTATATGGATCGTAGTGTAAATATCTAATTCTATTATCACGATATGAATAAAAAGGAAACATCAATTTGTATTCCCGATATCGAGATGTTAGCTATCATTGCGAGAATAACAAGCATGTCTGACTGCTATTTGCTAAGTACAAGATTACTTTCGGAATGAGATACAAGATTCCAGGAATGCTTGGATAAAGCGGGATACATATCCGAAGAGTAGATGGAGGAATTCTTGGCAGACGGCCATTCAGAGAAATATGAACCGAGCTCGATTCTACGGTAACACGTAGTAAATTCTGTCATGAGGCGCCAGCAGACAGGCACATTGAAATGGAACGTATTGCACAGTCGAAAGAAAGAAAGGAAGTCGTTTTAATTCCCTTGGACAGGCTGAAAAATTAATATCAATATTGATATCATTATTATTATACCAAATTAAAATAACAGTAAAGAGAATTTAGTGCCAAACATTGAAATAACCATTATTTATTTCGTGGAGTTTAATTTTTAACTGGACATAGAAAGCATAATGAGCTTTACGTGATAAAAAATGAACGAACTTTCCTGAATGCATATAATATATCCAACAATTAAACGGAGCTTTGCATAAACAAGCGTTCCGCAAGCGTACGAATAAAATTCTCGGGGAGATGGAAAAAGCGTATCCGGAAGGAATTTTTACTTGGACGAACGGGTTATCCTCCTGCTAATTATCCTACGTACAAAGTCAAGATAGAAAAGGCGCGCGCTGTTATTCCGAAGATGTTGCCTCGGAACAATGAAGGGAGTATCGATCGTCGGAAGTGAACGATAAAACGGCGCGGCGCGGAAAGAAGAAAGGGTGTGGGATCTTCTTTCTCTTTTGAAATGGAACGGATTTATTTTTAGTCTCTTACGTGCACGCGATTCGCGATAGGGAAAGTCTCGATTTTATGCTGACGGAGCGCACGCATACGCGCTTTTCGCGTTAATGCGCGTCAAGAGGAATCTCTCTCGATGAACCTGACTCAGCTACCGGCCGCGCGGTGTTGCACACAGGGGCCAATGACACTCCTGGATATACAACGTGTATTGTTCTGACTACCGTGTATCGATTCTTTTATAGAAGACGACAACTTTCACGCTTCGCATTTCATATTGTACTATAACTTTAATACAGGATGCACGGACGCGACCAAAAAGGGAATGGAAAAAATATATCGCTCATTTGTGACGACGACACGACACGAGATTCAAAAAACAAAAAGTTTTCCAAAAAATAAATTTGAACATTTTGAAGTATGAAAATTTTGTAATATTAATTTTGAAATATAATTTTAGTGTAATAATTACAAAAGATAAAAATTGACATATTCTTTCTATTTTTTTTTTTTTTTTTCTTTATATTCCGTTCTTTTTCTATAAACTTTAAATTGACAAAATGTTTAGTTGTGTCATTACAGCCACTGGCAAATTTACGAGGAGGGATGGGGGCATAAGAGCCGCGCCCCTTTCTTGAAATCTTTTTAAAAAATATTTATAAAAAATATGTTATGTATTTTTTTAATCTTTTTGAAATCACAATTTCGATGTTACAAAAATATCTTTGGAATAATTTGAAAAATTCCTAGATATATAAAAAACATAGATTCTATTATATTATTCTTCTTTTGTGTTAATATAATTTTTAATAAAACTTTTTATGAATTATTCGTTTAAATAATACTTTTTTAATGTAACAATTCTAATAATAATGTAGCATTCTATCTGTTTATATCTAACCTTAAAAGAAATTTTTGCCTGCGGCAAGCTAATAGCCCCTCCTGCCTTGAAAAATTTTCACCGTTGCTTGTAGCAAATGAATAATATACAAGTAGAAACGAATGAGAAATAGAGAAATACTGAGCTTCTTTATTAAACCGGAAATAATCTGTATTTTTTATCATAGCGCAGCGATGAGAAAATGTGAATTGTAAAATACAATGGATATTGTTTAATAAATTTTATTTTAACAACTATTTAAAAAACTTGAAATATCCAACTCTATCGAAAACTCGCAATAAAAAAGTATTTTATTGATTAACATCTTTATCTTTTTTAGAAATACTACCATAATAAACATGTTATATTTAACGTGCTTATTTAATATTCGTTTAATTTCTATTTACTTTTTTTCGGAAAATTGTAAATCCATAATGTTCTCAAATGCTAATAAATTGGAAAATAATTAATAATATACAATATGATATCAATAATAGTAATTTTTAATGCAGTGTAAAACAACCCAGATGATCATTTAAAGAAAAATTAAGTGATTATTCTTAGGTTATAATATATTATTCTTTTTTTCGGAATAACAAAAGCATTTTAAACACAAAACGTCGTTTGCAACAATTAACCGCAATTCTTGAAAGAAAAATGTACCTCGATGCTTCTCAATAGAATAATTCAGATTAGAAAAACATTAGGTTGATAACTAATTTATTTCATATCGCGGATCGTAAGTTTGACAGTATTTTTGTTTTCCAATGTAAAGCTAATAGCACACAGAAAAATTTAAGTAGTAAGATGTAAGTAGTAGCTTAGATGATTGACGTTAGTTGTTGTCACTTTGACGTCAAAATAATAACAAATGACGTCAATTCACTATTTGGATACGAATCGGCCAATCAGTGAAGAACGCAAAGCATTAACGTAAGCATATAATAAATTCAAGACATTGCGTTGATTGGTTATGACTTACAGCTCAAGTTTTTCTGTGTGCCATTGACTTAATTGCGCCGATAGTAGGATGTATAGTCTATTAAATCGGACTTAAACTGTTCAGTAACTCATGACTGGCACCTTTCCAATTTACCGGCGACTTTTGATCAACGAACGACTCTTTCCCTTATTCCAGTCACGTACATTACAGTAACATCCACCTTTTCAGGAAAAAAATTAGACCGTGTGATGAATTGCGAGCGACTAGGGAAATAATAAACACAAGATACATGAAACACGACGCAATTTTGTAATAATATTAATGTTATTATCGTTTGATTAATTGTTACACAGTTTGAGACGAAATTTATAGAGCTCATCATCTGCTATGGTTAATATTGTGAATGTACCATGGAAAATTCGCAAAGCTAGCACGAACATTTACGTTTAGAATTTTATACATTTTCCGTACAATCTTTGTAAAATATTTCCCGGTTGAAACAAATCGAGAAGCTAACATCGTAATGTCGAAACAAGGCAGGTACAAAAAGAAACGGACAGTAAGTATTCTCGCGCATACCTTGACATCCCGACTCTTCATCTCCTGCCTTCTGGGCACCGTGTTCTCCCCGTCGGCATACACGAGATTCCTAATAAATCCATTGAATCTTGGCTCGAATATCACGCTAGGCAGCGCCAACAGCGTCAGCTTGCTGTTGTACCAGCTAGGCATACCGCCCACGTAGACGTCCGAGTTCCCAGCGAGCTTGCCGAACTCGAACTCCTTGCCGCGCGACGTCGAGACCGCGCCGACACCGTCCACAGTTAGGGTAGTGTTCTCGTTGCACCTGGTGATCTGTACCTTGTGCCAGTGGCCGTCGCCGAGGTCGTGGCCGACCGTGACAATCTGCGCCCCGCCGCCAAGATTGTACCTCAGTCTGAGAGCGCTCTCGACCAGTTTCACCTCGAAGAAGTCGTAAGTGCCGCCGTCGTCCGTGTAGAGCAGCAGCCCGTTACCCTGCTCGGTCTTGAATTCGAACTCGAGGGTGCCGTTCAGGCCGGCGTTCCATTTGCGAAATTGTGCGTAGCTCGTCGCGGAACCCTCCAGCAGGAAGCAGCGGGCCACCTGGCAGGCGAACAGCACCGCCAGCAGAAGCGGCGCCGGCAAAAGCGTGGGACGCATGATTCACACTCTTTGGATTAGATCTCCCGCTAGATTCTGTTCATTCGCTCAGTCGGCTCGGTTCTCTCTCGTGTGACGAAGGACGTCACGCGCTCATACTTATCTCGCGTGGGCGCTCGAAGCGTGGGTGCGTGATGCTGCTGGCCACGTTGCACCACCCGGTTGCATCCGTGAGCACGTGAGCACGCACGCGCGAATCGTGCGTGGGTTGGGGTGTGATATGCGATTTTGTGATCGTACGCGCTGCTCGTGCGTACTTGTCTATATATATATATATATATATCTCTCCTTTGCTCTCTTTTGCCGTGTAAGTTATCCTTAAAGTGCCTTCGATTGGCGGCTTCTCGAGTTCTCTCGTGAGCTCTTACCGAACAAACTTGTCGAGCGGGAAAGTCGTTTCCAATATCGTCTGGAAAAATTAATGAACTTGATAGTGATCGGACACGTTTGTTCCAAATTGCTATTTATCTTCGTTATTCAATTTCAGGATTCCTCTTTTGAGAAAGTTACAACGATAAATGCTTATATGAAAACGTTTGATAGTGATTATCCGCGTAAAATGATACCCTTTTTTAAATCTTATCTCAAATAGAATTATTTTAGTTAGCGTGAAATTCGTTCATTATTTTCATAAAAGTCGATATTTCTGGATATGTCTTCAATTTCAAGTTCAGTCTGTTAATTGGACGCATCAAGATTCGTAAATTACCTCCCGGGTTCACTCTACAACGCTGAAAAAGCAATGAGAAGATCCACAATATTTGTTTAATGCGCGTATAATGTACATGCACCAATCGATTGACAACGAAAAGTTTCTCGAGGTATAAACGCTTGAATCACGTTTGTTATATGTACAATTTAAATCGGAGATTGAGGTAAGGATGACGTACTTGTCTCTCCGAAGACCATCAGTTAGATTTACTACTTAATACGCCGTTCAATTGCAGTAAAATTCAATCTCCTTATACCAAGCGTTATATTTTTATGGAAAATCAATCAATATCGATCACGATCACTAAAGTGTGTTCGATAGAGCAAAAGAAGTATCGACGTTTAGCTCAGATGTCTCACAGAGCGCGGACTTTCTTCCTTTACAGTCCGTCACAAGACACATCTAATGTCTTCTCTCGTTCCCTCCAAGATTCTGATTTTCGAGAAGATGACCAATTATTTCTTCGGACTCATTCCACTGGTAGAATCACTGTCAGTAACATCGAAGCACAAAAGGAGCGAAGAAGTTGACTCTTCAAGGAATCAATGACAAAATAAATTACGTACATACATTGTTTGCTGAGGAGAGTCTTTTAATTGCGCATTTAAATTTAGACCAGGAAATCTCTACTGGGTAGGTAAAAGGATATGGAAAATTCAATAACTGTCAAAAGATCGTTGGACTCTCTTGCTGTTTCTTCCGTATCTTAAAGACTCCTCGCGCATAACAATACAGGAACGACTGTCGAGGTATCGAGACTTCGCGTCGAGGATGTCTAAGTCGTAACGCTTCGCGTCGCGTCGATGACACACTTTCACCGCGGCTCCTTCGGCGGAATAAGCGTCTTGGGAATTGCTCGCGGAATGGCTGGAACAAGTCAATCCGAATCGGCGTGGAACGTCACCTGATTTCGCGCTTCATCCCCGACACCGAAGGTCAACCGGGATGGAGAGAGAGCGGGTCCCAGCGACGAGCGACACGACCTCGACCTAATCACGCGATGAGCACTTTCACCACACACCAGGCTCTGTCCCTCCCTCTCCGCCGTCCGCGACGCAGAATCGCGAGAGATGCCGGGGGATGATCACTCGGTACGTTCGCGACGTCGCCGTTTTCCCCGTGGCGAGCTCGTGGTGACGTTTCAATGGCGCCGGCAGAGCACAGCACGGATCCCGCACGTCGGGTCGAGTCAGACAACTACGCTACTTGCTCGCGGTTCACTCTCGAGTCAGCCATCCGTTCGTATCGCGATCGATCCGGCCGCGCGCTCCATTTTTCCTTCTCTCTCCTCCTTCTCCCCCCTCTCTCTCTCTCTCTCTCTCTCTCTCTCTCTCTCTCTCTGTCTCTCGTGCGCGTTCGCTCTTTCTCTCGCCACCCGGAAGCTTCAGCGAAATCGAACGTACACGTCGAAACAACGCGCGCGAACCACGTAAAATCCCATTCACCGTATCTTGTGGTGGCTGTTGGTCGCGATCGGTAGACCGTTTCCCGGAGATGGATCGACCCTCTCGACGGCTCCCGGCTTGATACTAGCCTGGCGAAACGAAGCGATGCTCGGTCGAGACGCTCGCTGCCGACGACGATGGTGCGACGCCCCCGGCATGACGCCGACGCCGACGCCGACGACGACGTCGACGCCGACGCCTCGCGCCGTTCCTCTGCGCAGCCGCGCGTCGAGGAAGAAGACCGGAGGAGGAAGAGAGGGTTACGCGATGGTGCGAGAGGGTTGTTCTTCGTCGGTGCCTGTCTGTCTGTCTGTTCGTCGTTGTATAACGCTAGAGGATGCAGGTGAGGGCGCGGAGAGACGGAGGAACGTGATGGTGCGTACTTACTAGGGAAGGTGGGAAGGGGTTGCGCTCTCAGATTTGCTCCTCCAGTGAGAACATTAGCGACGAGAGGCGCGGAAAAATTGTTGAGCAACCCCTCGATCGGAAAGCGAAAGAAACTCTTAATGAACGAAGTGCGTTTCTATAGAACTCCTACTGATCCACCTGAAAAACGTTTCGTGGATCATCGATCAATAGCGACAGAGTGCCCAATGCGATCGTGACACTTTCGCATTGCAAATTTATTGGTCACGTTGAATATCAAATTTTGAATGTTTTTATCGAAGACTGCAGAGTTACGTCCAAGTTTTAGGAAAAAGACATTTTATATATTTATATCTGTTTTTCGTCGGAAATAAAAAATAATGTTTTTTACTCTTTTCCATTAAGAGATGTGAGACGCGAGAGAGAAGGAGAGAGACCTATGTTATTATAAAATAGTATTGTAAAAATACAATTATTATTCAGAATTTTCTATCTACATGTACGATATCCATTTGTAAAATGAATGAGAAACATTAAAAATAAAACAACTATCTTGTTGAAAGAATACTGCGACATTTTCTGCTTCACTGACTTTATTCGTGCTTTATTTTAATATAACTTGAATACACATACAAAATATTTCGAAAATACGAGCAGAATAATGAGAAGAGTTTTTGATAATCTAATATTATTCTAATAATATATCTTTATAATCGAATCTCGTAGGAGTAAATAAAGCTCCATTTATTCGCGTAAATCGAAGACACTGATTTATTAATTTAATATTTAACGAAACGAGAAAATTAGATCGCTCGCATCGATTAAATAAGCGAATGATGGTATATGGCATGCGGAACATGACGGAAGCAAAAAGAGGATGGGTAGTGGTGTGAGAAATTCGGCTGCCAAAATAAAAGGAATGGTGACTGCGAGCAAGGAGATGTTGCGCGAAGGTATACCGCGTAAAGGTGGGGCTCCCCGGGCCGAGTGGTAGAAAGATAGGTGTAGATGTCAATCGAGAGGTGAAAAAGCGCGCGACTCAATGCTGAGAAAGCATCGTGTGTCTGTTCGGCAGAAAGCGCCGATTCGTAAGGACGATACAACACGAATCGGGAGATGGTGAACGGCGATTTCGTCTGGTCAGAAATTCGAGGAGCCGTCGAGTGCTATCGACGTCGACCCGAGTCTGCGATTTTTCCATCGCGTTGCGAAAACCGAGCTCGTAAATATGCAGTTTGCACGCTTATTCAACCTAGCGAAATGTATCTGATAATTTTGCAAGAAATAAGGATGTGTAACAATTATAAGTAGAAATTAGAATGGTAGGAAGAAATCAAATTAAGAGAAAGAATCCTATATTCGATCAAAGCGGAGTTTACCTAATAATATATTTATATGTAAATATTTGCAAATACATTTTTCAATTCTTTGAACTGCACTGATTCGCTTTGTTAGACTTGAAATCGTAAACTGAAGCTAAAAATACATTGATCGTCCGATTCAATAATGATGCTAATAGGCATCTCGAAACACTACAAAGAAATTATTGTGAAAATATCGTTTCAATCGAAGTTTGAATTTTTATCAATTCAACGTTTGTGATATCTTTTGTAATAAGTTTTTTTTACCGCGTTTTAAGACACTTATTAGCTTTATTATTAAATTAACGATTATTATTTGTGATGTTATTTCCAGTTTCAATTTATGATTGCGTTTCAAGTCTGACAAGTCGAATCAAAATGCACAGTTTATAGAACTAAAAAGTAGATTTGCCAATTTGCATATGAATATTATTAAAAGAAACACGAAGATCCATTTTGACCGAATAAAAGATGTATAACCGCATAATTATGTCGATATTCTTGGTCGATTTTCCTTTTTCTTTAAGAAGCTTCTTAATTAATACTGTAAAATGGTAATTCTATTACTTCCATCATTATACCCGCAGAGAATCTATGAGGGTGAAAATACCGCAGCCTTAGAAGGAGAGAAAATAGATCATACATCAATTATGACAGTTGATTATCATTAACGCTAATTTAATGCTCGTATGCCTCGAGATAATAGCTCCCATTAGTCGTTCGGTATAATTAACACTTTGAGTCCAGTGGGGGTACACTGCAAATCCCACCGTGATGTTAAACGCTCTCCGGATTCGAAGTATTAATCAACGTAGGATGTATATTAATATTGTATATCTGTATAAATCGGGAATGCAGTGTATCGAGATGACCGATACCGTTTATCGTTGGATTATTCTTGCTGACAAAAATGATAAAGTCACGTACGGTACTATTGATCTCCGAGCTCGTTGTAATTCTTTCAAAATCACTCAGCGACCTAATCGATGTGTCATTATTGTCGACTCATCGACAACGACGTATTAGTCCCGCGAGGGTAATTAGATTGTTAGATCAAGACGGCACGGACCGTTAAGTCGTCTACACGTAAGATGAATCGTTGCTCACGCGTCTCTTTCCCTTGTTTCTCGTTAGTATTTTATCCGTCGGACAATGTCCACCGTATTGATGGATCGCAGTAAACCATCCCCTAAATCCTGGCCAAGTAGGTCGATCCGACGGATGTGTTTACCTGATAGCTCGCGGTACTTTGGAAAACGCTGCAAGACAGAGAGACCGCTCACGCTCGAGTTGCAAAAGTTTTCGTCGAATGTACGCCGACATCCCCGGGCCGATCTCGCATTGGAAAATATGTCCCGATTGTGACTCCCGAGTTTCGTCCGTTGCGCTACTACCGGGTGGCCAGATAGAAACGTCAGATTCGTTCAGCGGGGCACATAGATTGCACGTATCGTTGCTATGCGCAGCACAGATAGCATTCCAAGAAGTAGCTGTTGGAATACGATAAAAAATTTATAAAAACTTTTATTCGAAACAGTCTGTCGATCGCGAAATCGTTCTTTATATTCCAACGTAATAATCG